CTTAAGCTCCCTCCCGGACTTGGGACCGGGACTGCTCAGGCGCTGGCGAGTGCCATGGTAAGTAAGGAAAAAGGCGACTGTACTAGCCTGACCTTACCTGAGCCGAGAGGCTTACAAACAACAACAACAACAACAACAACAACAACAACAACAACAACAACAACAACAACAACAACAACAGCAACATCATCCTCATCAACACATCCATGTTTATATGTTCGCTTGCGCCGTCATCTTCTTCCACCGCAGCAAGAGTCCCGAATCTCAAGCTAGCGAGCGCCGTATCAGAACTGGTCTTTTGCCAGCCCCGGCTATTCAAGATAGCGGCACTAATGCCCTAAAGGCATGGGAACAATGCGCCGAAACGCCTGTGTGCTGTGCACACGCTCGGATAAGACTGTTCAGTCCATGACATCTAAGACACGAACTTTAGCACTCCAAGCCTTGTTTGTTCTGCGGCTGCTGTACAAGTACGCATGGCGATGCACGAGCAATTGCAACGTGTGCATCTGGCTCTGTATGTTGTCCACATGCCGTTGCATCAGCATCATCTGAGCCTCTAGCTCCTTGATTTGATGCTCCATGAGGCTGAGGTGTGCAGCTGTCCACGTGTCTCCGTACTTGCGCAGCAGGAAGTGGTTCGTCCCTCCTTCCTCCATCATGGCTGGTGGTATCGGCTTGAGCGTTGATTGTCTGCGAAGTGTGGTCCGTTCTCTGGGCTAGCACCAAGATATATGCACTGCAAGAGGCGCTCTCGAGGAATGCATCTGAAGCTAGCTCAATGTTTTTCGCATCGTCCAGGACATGGTAACTGTTACCCCGAGCACTCAGAACATTGTAATGACCTGACACGAGGCTGGACCCATGGTGGAGGATGCATGCTACAAGGGAGTATGTGTGCCACCTCGTCTCCGTGGAGAGGGGGCTGATGAAGATCGGCACTTTCAAGACCTCCGGAATGATCACGGGATTATGGTTCTTTCGAACGTGCCCGGACTCGTCTCTATACCCCCGAGGAAGCTGCAAGAAGATCCAAGGAACTTGGCCGTCCAACGCATGCGCGGCTGCCTGTCCATGCCAACGGTGTATGAGCTCTTGGGGGTCCGGCTTAAACTCCTGATGGCTCAGGGATAGGCACCTGGACATAGTAGCACCATCAATGTGGTGCACCCTGCCTTGGCGCATCTCTCTAGCACTCCATGTGACACGCGAGGTGCCCGGACTGAGACGTGGCATGATGAAATCGATCAGCTCTGCAACATCATGCTGACTATCTGGCTGCCTCCACCCCAGGAGGTTGAACCCCAGTGCTTGGAAAGCGTTCAGAAGCCTGCCACCAGCGCGTCTGAATGCATTGGGCAGGATTGGCTTCTGGGTGTACTTTTCAAGAATGTGAAGGCAATTCACTGTGGCATTCAAGTAGCAATGATTGTGGGGGTTATTAAGGAGGAAGTTAGGGAGGTGGGAAATGTCGTGACTATGGGTGGGGGTGGTCCTATGGCGTGGGCTACCGGGGTCTTGGGTGTCTATTGGCATTGCAATGATGGCTGCTGCGGCTGGCCTCCCCCGTACGTCAGCTGGGCGATTTGTTGCGCCAGAGGCTGGCGACTTTGGTCGTCCATCTTCATGCTGAATCCCGCCAGGTTTGTCAGAGCCGATCCCGTGAGTTTCCGGAATTGCTCGTAGACCTCTGTTGCCTCGGAGCCACGAAAGGATATTCCTAGGTGGAAGACCGCTTGTTGGGCCCCTTCGTCCTCCAAGGTCGCCAGATTGACCGTGCTCTGGAACTTGTGTACTATGTCCCCTCGCATCGATTTCTGGAGCTCGGAGATGATGCGGACCGCCTCCTCGTGGACTAGGGCCTCGCGGGTGCTGTCCGGCGTGAGCTTCCGGAGTTTCGGGGACCATCTCATGTACGACCATGCATTGGCCGACGTCATCCACTCGGCTTTCTTGAGTGAGTCTCGGCCTGCTTCCGTGGCCACCACTCTCTGCACCCTGGCCAGCAGCTCTCGAAGCAGGCAGCTGATCAGAACAGTCCGTTGGGAAGACTGAATCGACTGGTCGCCCGCCGCCTGCTTGGCTTTCCACTCGCGGGAGACACTCATGAGGGAGGGTAGGATCGACTTGTCGTCCTGCCTGAAAAACAAGACAAACTGGGTGTCTTTGCGCAACAGTGCCAACTGTTCCTCGTGCTTGAGCACCAGTTTGCTCAGCAGTCTGAACTGTGAATCCGGCGTCGTCGATTGAGGGAGTTTCTGGAAGGGCTTCTGCGGTGACTGGCCAAGGGGTCCCTGAAAGGTCGTCCGCCTGCCTTGCCTCCCGTTGGGTCGCGCTTGTGCTGGTCGAGGCCTCTTGTGTGACGCCTGGCCTTCCTCCGTCCCCGCTGCGCCTGACGGCATGCAGTGCGCAAAGATCTCCGCATCGATGTCCCCCATCACGAGTGGCCTTTGAGCCAGGGTACTGCTTGCACACAGTAACTGCAAGGCAGAGTTGATGCAAAACAGTGCATTGCAGGACGTGCCTGCACGGGGCCCCAACTGTGCTATTGCAGTACTTGCAGCTGCGTCCTCTTGTGAAGTTACCCTTAAATGACATGCACAGCTTATTTGTCTCCTCCAGGGCCTGCGGGTAGTCCTTCTTGCATGTCCGGTTGTAGTGCTGGTTCATGTGTTTCTTATCTTCAATCCACATGCCGCAAATCACACAGTGGCTCTGGAGCCTTTCCTTCATTTGCGGACAGGTTAAATGCTTGTCCCACGAGTCAAGTGATTGCACGAGAAGCGGATCTTGAATGAGCGGGACAGCATTTTTTGCAGCTTTGCACGACGCAGAGGGATCTGTCCGGTCCTGCTGAGGGAGAGCGAGTGACTGTGAGTCTCTGACAGGTTTACTCATGGCATGGTTGTCCTCAGCAGGCGGGCTGAGTTTCACGCTATCCCCCCCTAAGCCTATGCAGGCCCCATTTTCTATGTGCAGCTTAAGGGACTGCCACTTCGTGAAATTCCTGTGACAGAGCCTACAGGTGGGAAGCCCATTGATGGCACGCTCGTCTGCACTGAAAATTGGCTTATGCCGCGGGTCTGCTGTGGCTTCCGCCTCAGGGTGCTTGATGGCAATGTGAATCAGCCTGGCATGTGCTGTGGAAAGCACCGCCTCGCAATGTGGGCACGTGTAGTTGGTAGCGGAGCTATCGCCGGCCTGTGCCGCGGAAACTTCCAGCTTCGCCGTCATGCCATTGATCAGATCCTGAAGCTTGGAGAGGAGGACCTGGAGCTGATTGTGGACCCGGTCGTTGTTTACGAGGTCGGGGCCGTGCAAACTGTAGGCTGGGTCCCTGCTGGCGCTCAGATTGACGAGCCGCTTGTAAAGGGATTTTTCGGGTGTGGGGAGCTTTGCTTTGGCCCAGATTTCTGAGGTACTGACATGGTGCAGGTGGGCTGGCTCGCGCAGCACAGCCCTGACATGCCTGGTGGCAAGCGTTTTGATCTTCTGCAGTCCTTTGAGCGTGCAACCTGTAACATCAAGCGAGTACAGAAGGCTGGGCGGAATGCAGGCCTGCCAAAGTCTGAGTCTGTACTTGGTAGACAGGGGGCTGTGGCCGTTGAGTACCTTGCGTATCTGCTGATAACGGGTTTGCGAAGGTGCTGATGCGGTGGCTGACGTTGAGGTCTCGGCGTTCTCTGTAGGCAATGATGGTACCTAAGTAGGTGTGTGATTCACGAATTTTCAGTAGGCACTCTTCACCGTCGACCCGAAGAACGAGAAAGACCTCACCTGCTTTGTGGCGGGTGTGCTTCTGCATCAGCTTGCGAGCTTCCTTGCCTTTAAGGTCTACGAGGAGTGCCGTCTTTTGTAAGTTGACCTTCAGCTTGTAAGCTGCCAGCGTTTCCAGCAGTAAAACCAGGTCTGCCATCGCGTCTTGCCAGTCCTTCTTACAGGTAATGACCCAGTGCCCACAGCAATCGTCAGCAAATAGGGTAAGGAGGTTTTGTATCCAGGTAAGGCTGCGTCTGGATGCAAGGTGTTCCAAAATGGAAAGGGTGAAGCTTATCCACAGCGTGGGTGCCGCTCGGCAGCCCTGCTTTATTCCATTAGTGGTGGTTACTTGGCCGTTTGCGGTCTGAGTCCTGAAGACATACTTGGCCTCCCTGTGTAGCTGCTGAACTACGTTTATGAGGTCCCCCGGCACCTGGTGTTGGACTAACGAAGCGATAAGAAAATCCCGGCTTACACTGTCAAAGGCACTACTGAGGTCCAGGGATAGGCAGACCCCCCCGTGGCAGGCGAGGGGTTTGATATCCTCATACATCTTGAACCTGTTGTTGATTTGCCCTTTTTGCAGCGTCTCGATGCCCTCGAAATACGAGTGAACTCTCAGTATGGCATCGTTCACCCCTCTTCCAGCACAGTAAGCAAATTGAGGTAGATGATCGAGCATTGGCTGAAGGTGTTCAAGAATTTTCTTGGCTACGTAACCCAAAAGGGATTTTGCGCATGGAGGCATGAGTCCGATTGGTCTCAGGGCACTCATGGCAGTGGGGGGCTTAGAGGGCTTAGTTAGCCAGCAAATGTGTGCGTCCTGGAGGTCGCCTTCCAGCGTTGCCGTGGATTGGTTTCGGAAGTGCTGGGCGAAGCACGGGCCTAGACGGTCGCTCACAGCCCCTGCACAGAGTTTCCAGACAGCATTCGGGGCGATGTGCCTGGGCACCGCCTTGCGTATGTTGAGCTGTGCCGGCTCCGCCTGCAGTTCTGCGGTTGCAAACACGAAGCTCCCCTGCAGCGGATGAAGACTCGTGGTATCTGGTGTTGAGGCGAAGGCCGCCCTGCTGTGCTTGAGGATGGCGGCCATTTCTGCCTGCCCATCAAGAAGCTGACCGCTGGGCCCTTGTAGCCTGGAGACACCTTGTGCTGTGCGAGGGCCTAGCCTGCGGGCAATGAGGAAAAGCTCTCTGTGGTTTCCCTGTCTGGCTGCAGCCTCCGCTTGCACAATTTGGTCTGTCAGGAACTGTCGCTTAATGTCCCTACTTTGCCTTCGCAGTGTGGCCGAGGCTTTCATGAACCTGGCGAAGAGGCTCCATCTTGACCAGATGTTCCGAAGGGAGGGCATGCCCGAGCGACGGAGTTGCCGATGGAGCTGCCATGTGCCTCTGGCCGTGGCAGGATATTCAGGCTGCGCACTGACTCTGGTGTCTAGCTTATGGGCAGGAGGAAAGAGGCGGCATGTTTCCTCTAGCAACACCTGATTGACAAGGTCGTGCTCTGGGCAGAGTGCCTGCGCCTCCGGCAGTGCAGCCAGTCTGGCTTCCACGGCCATCTGTAGCTCCTGGGCCGTGTTTGAGTGCTGAGCAACTGCTTGTTGCAACGTCTGTTCATGGAACTGGTACTCTGCCTTGCGTGGCTGGACTCGGTAGCCCATGGGCAGCATCTGCACCGTGGCCTGCACGGGGTGATGGTTGGTTTGCCGATGCGCCCCAACCGGGAAGGCATGCAACGGCTTGGCCAGTTTGGCTCTGTGGTTGGCTGCAGTCTTACGGAGCAAAACATAGTCCAGTTGACTCTTGACGCTTGGGGATGTGAAAGTGTGATGCGGGCTAGCATGCCAGGTGTTAGCAGCACACAGGTCACATTCCTGAATTAAGGTCTGGAGGTCTTGATCCAAGTTGTTATGGGAACTCGGTTTAGGGACTGATGGCCCGATGTGCGGATGGGAGTGCTGAAGGGTAGCACTGAAGTCACCCATAACCACTAGCTGGTGCCGAACCGGGGTGGCAGTGATGATGGATTGAAGCTTGTGCCACACTTCGCCTCGAAGGGCACGGTTTTTGGCTGCGCTGTAGTGCGGTCTCCACACATGTTGATATATCCCCAGGATGCATGCCGGCATCTGGCTGCGAATGTGAGTAGCAGTGATCTGAAGCAGACGACCCGGGACGTGCTCCTTGACCCGTGGCTCTGTAAAGCTACTGCTGGATAACATACACAAGACGCCCTGCATACCGATCAGGCTCAGCCTCCTTTTTGTAACCTGAACTATGGACGCAAAGCCACTTCCCGCTGCGATAATCCTCAACCTGCTTCCAGTGGGTTTCAGTAAGGATGATGACATCATATTGTTCTGTGGCTTCCCTGGTTTCGATCCAGGCCATGAATTCCTGCATGAGTCCCGACGCCAGCCCCCCCGTGTTCCAGGTGAGTACCCTGAAGTGAAACTTTGGCCTGCATGGTCGCGGCACTGCTCGTCGAGGCCTCCTGGATGGAGGGGCGAGGTTGTTTACAACAGGGAGCCGTTGGGCTTCAAGGGCAGCACGGGTGTGCCAGTGGCCTTTGTACCAAGTTCCATCCTGGATGGATTTATTAGCTCTCTTGCATGCTCGATTGAACGCTCTCTTCGCACTTCTGAAGGAAGGTGGGTGTTCCCTGCCTTGATGCGCTGTGCCGTGCGGCTTCCCCGGACGTAGTCCGAGTTGCTCCTCTGCTACGGCCGCAGAGGAAACCCTCACCCCAGCTGTGGCAAGCATGAGTGCTCGCAGTGCTGTCCTGTAGGATCCACAGCCTCCGGACTTGGGACCGGAGAGGCACTTTGCACTCCTACGGGATGCCATGTAGTCAGGACTACCTATGTTATGAACCGTACCCTTAGGGGCTTTAGTGGCGAGGTGATTGGCTCCTGCGTCCTGGCAGCTGCACAGGTCGTCGGCGACGCTGGGCCGCTCACGTTGCTCGTCTGTGCAGTGGTGTTGGCGGCGTCGGCGGCGGCATCGTCGGTATATCCAGATTTGCATCCATGGCTGCAGGTGTTGTAGCCGACTTGCCCGCAAAAAGTGTGCTCGCTCGTTTCTCGCCATCCGCTGGCTGCGGTTAGGGTTGGCCATCCACTGTCCGGGAACTACGAGGTTCCCCTGCTTTGCGGTGGCCCCTTGCATTGAGCCTACACCAGTTATGCCATTGCACCAGTCTGTCCCCCGTGAACTGCCTTTGCATGGTGTCCCGGATCTCTTGCCACGTGAGGCCAGCAATGGCTCTCTGGAACCAGCCTTGCGAGCCGGCGCGGCTTCTGGTGGAGCGTTGTGCTTGTGTCGCCTGCAGCTCCTGGCGATACAATGCACTGCATTCTGCTTTTGCTCTGTCCAGCTCGTCTGCACGAAGTTCCAGGGAGAAGCTGCTGCTCTCGCTGATGCCCTGCTGGCTGCCAGTGTACCTGGAGGAGGTTCCTGAAGAGTCTGAGTCAAAGGAGAACTCGGGAGCAAGGGCTTCTCGCATGGCTCTTTCTTCCGCGCTGAGGTGTAGGACGGCTCCGGGGGGAGGTGGCGGTCCAGCGCGCGGTCTGGCATCTGCAGGTGCAGTATCATCATCGTGGTTCCCAGTAGCATCATTACGATCAACTGTTGTGCGCTCCGGTGAGTCCGTGCGTCTGGCTTTCCGGGAGGCGGCATGGCTCATCACAGTAGTCTACAGGGCTTCCAAAAGAGAACTTGGGCCCAGGGGCTTCTTGCGCCGTCATCGTCATCATCATCATCACCACCATCATCATCACCACCGCCACCATCATCATCAACAACAGCAACAAAGACGTGCTCATCTTCCGGTGCCTCACCATCATCTTCCTCATCCTTAGCATCACCGCCCTCATCAACACGCCAACCAAAAAACCTAAACTCGAACCCTCGGTCCGTCTCTGCGCGCGTGGCCCGGAGCCAGTAGGCGTCTGCGCCCTGGCGACAAGGCAGCCAGTGGATACTGCACACAAACGATATACTAAAATCCTGGGATACCTTGTAAGTACTCTACAGCAAGAGAATATGAGAGAATTGATTAATTATGGCATGTTCCTCGTTGCGGCTAGTGCGAGAATTTGTCGATCAGCAGCATCATACAGGAGATCCAGGGCCAGCCATTCGGGCAGAAGTATCTGTGGGTTTTACTCTTCGGCTCTGGAATCTTATACGACTCAAACAGATTCAAGGAGGAATGTGAATCGGATGCTGCTCAGAATTCGAACCTATGATAGGTTCTCGAAGGCGGGTATCTTCAAAGTCTCCTAATTTGCAAGAGCATGAAATGCAACCCACCGCAACATACACACGACACAGTTATACACACAACTTCGAGGAAATGTTGAACAGAGCCGACACCCTGGGCCAGAAACACCTCAACAAAAACTGGGCTGGAAGGTGGCTCGGAGGGCTTAGAGTAAGAACCTGATGAAGAAACGCAAGGTTCCAAATCCCCCGAACCTAGCAGCCACATCAAGGACCCAGAACCTGGACTCCTCTTAAAACCCGAACAACTGGGGGGAGTTTACCAAGGAAGTCGGCCGTCGGTTTAGGGTTTCGAGTTTCGGGTTTGGGGTTTCCCGTTGCGGGTTTAGGGTTGAGGGTATGAAGGCTTGAGACCGGAGGACCAGCATGTTAAACCCTAAGGTTTGAAGCATTACTACAGTAGTAGCTAGACTCCAGAACTTAAACCCTAAACTGGTCAGGGCAAAGGCGGGGGAGGCTGGAGGGACGGTTAAGGAGTTCAGGCCAGAGATTGATCCCCTGCCTTTGAAGCGAATCGATGACGCATGGAGCGAGATGCAAAAGCACCTGCAAGCATGGACAAAATCGGTTTAGGGCTAAGGCTTGCATAATCCTCTTCATGGATAATGCCAGATTTTGCGTCCATTACCATGCCTTCATTGGATTCCGAGGTTTTGCAGTTGAGAGTTTGGGGTTCAGAGATCACGAAGGCCTCGTTGGCAGCTGAGGTATCGTCAAGTGGACCGAAACCGTAAAGTTGACACACGCCCCCTGATTTGGCGATTCTAGTTCATCTTAAACACCCCCCTCATTTACCGATTCCGGCTGATCACGTGTCTTAAACAAGCGCCCTCCTTTGGCGATTCCGCTTCAACGCACATCCTACACAAGCCCCCTCATTTGGTGATTTCGGATCATCATATATCTCCCTCCTTTGGCGATTCCGTTTCATCATATATCTTAAACACACCCGATTCACGCCCCATCATTTTGCCCTCCCATTTGGCGATTCCGGCTCAACTATATCTTGAACACGATTCCGTTTCATCAGCTGTCTTAATCACGCCTCCTCATTTGGCGATTCCGGTTCATCATATATCTTAAACACGCCCCCTCGTTCGGCGATTCCGCTGCAACATACATCCTACGCATTCGGCGATTTCGGTTCAAGGTTCAACATATATCTTAAGCACGCCCTTAATTTGGCGATTCCGTTTCATCAGATATCTGAAACACGCCCCATCATTTGGCGATTCACGCCCCATTATTTGGAGATTCCGGTTCATTATATACCTTAGACTGCCCTGTCATGTGGCGGTTCCGATTCATATATATGGTACCTCCGCCATGAAACGGAACTTGTCTGCACTTGTGTTGCTGCGAATTGATATCGGAAACCCTGTAAATACCGATAAATTCT